CAGAAGTCGTGGCTGGATGGTGTTGAAAGCACTGGAGAAATCAAAGAACATGATCCTCACAGTGCTTCCAGGCTTCTCCAGGTGAGTCAGAGCTCGGTGCAGGAGGTAGATGATGGCGTCCTCCACCCCGATGCCAGGCTGGTAAGCAAACTGCAGCAGATCCAATGAAGACCTCGCCAGGGGGCGCAGAAGATTTAGAACCAACCTCTTGAGGGTCTTCATCAGATGTGACGTCAGGGCTACCGGCCTGTAGCTGCTGAGGTTCTTGGGATGGGAGGTCTTTGGTACCGGTACCACACAGGAGGTCTTCCACAGCTGTGGTACTTTCCCCAGTGACAGTCTCAGGTTGAACAGATAACCTAGGATGCCACACAGTTCATGTGCGCAGCATCTCAGGAGCCTGGAGCTGATGTCATCTGGACCTGCAACCTTACGCAATCTTGCCTTCATATATTGTTTTCAGCTTCACCTGCACAACAGCTGTCGTGCCAAGGTAGGTGTCCCCAAAAGAATTGGTTTGCCCTGCGTCAGGAGCACACGCTGGGCTCTCCAAATCACAGACAAACAGTATTCCCCATTTTTTATTTTTAGTTCACAAACACTTCTTAGAACGACCAACTAATCCTGAAACTTTGGAGGTTTTAGCTCTCTGTACAGGGAAGTTACAGGAGGATAAAAATAATTATCAGGCAAAATGTCATTCGTTTGTTAAAAGAATCCCGTCTGATACCACGTGAGAACAATAAATATATAATTTTCTATTGTCACCCTAGAACTGAATGGTAATGTAACGATTATTATTATTATCATCATTGTCATAGGTTTTGGGTGGTTCTTGTGACATATTAACATCACCTGATGCGAGATGTATGTCGGGTTTGAGGCACCTGGGAAGGATCTCAAAGCTGGGTTAATTCTGCTCTAGACTTCAGGGTAACATCAGGATCCTGAATCTAAAACGATGAATTACAACACAGTTTGGTTTTCATGAGGCAGTTTCTCAAAAGAGAAGTAAAAGGAAGTGAAAGAGCTGCTGCGGCTATTAAAAATATCTTTCATTAGTAGGAATCATTTCAAAACTTGTTCATGACCCATCATTTTGAAGTCAGAAGCTGTGAAGAAGTGCTGATGAAGCAGGACATGAAGAAACTCTGTAAGTGAAGGCAGTGACTCTCTGAAAGGCCGTTAAACATGACACTCTCACACATGCTCAGCAGATTTCCTCACAGTATCCAACAGTTACAGTTTCTCAGCAGACATCAAACTAATTCTCTGTGAAGCCATTTATTTCTTTAGAAGTCTGAACACTGTACACGTTTCACAGCAGTCAGTGTGTAAACAGCTGGAACCTGAAAGTCCATTTAGGAGTTTCTTTTTCTTTACAACATTAAAGATCTGGATGAGTTCAACACTGATGGTTTTGTGTCCTCTGAAGAAATGAATTTAATCTGAACACAACTCGTTTCTTTAAATGTTCAGAGGTTTTGTAAAAGCTCATCATTCACTTCCTGACTCCACCAAACAGCTGCTGAGATGACAACGACTCAGGTCAAGAAATGTCATCATCTCAGAGTTCCTCACCTGCTTCCGTCATGTCCATCACGAAGATCCCAGTAGAAGCTGAATGCATGAAGGTCAGTTTGTGAAGTAAAATAAAAACTGAAGGCTCTGCCTCCCATTCTACTTGTGAAGATGATGTCAGATTTTTTCAAAACATTTAAATGTTACAGTGTTTCAATTTAGTTCAGTTTTATTTAAACAGTGCACCTCAAGGTGTTTTGAACATCACTACTGGGCAGTAATGCAACCTTGGTCTGCTCACCATCATGACCCGACGCACAGTCCTGGAGAGGAATTGCGACTCCCGATAATATCGTCCGTGGCTCTTCCCACTGCAGGAAGCAACAGTTTGATACCAGTTAAAGATGGGGAACATGAATACAAATCAAATCATTAAAAATAATATCAAACTTTCCCTCCTTCATACCAAACTTGTCACTTTCCATTAAGGAACCTAAAAAGAATCCAAATTGACCTGGACTGGTGGGGCAGGTGCTGGGTTCAAACTAGATACAGGCTCAATGTAGTCTTAAGAAACTGATCAGACACAAATCTTAAAACCAGTCCTTTTGTTTAAACTTGCTTCATGAGTTTAGTAGTAATGTGGCAGCTGTGAAAGACAGCACAGAGGCACTAATCATGGCAGCACAGGAACAAACTCTGAGCACAAGATCCAAGGAGGCTGGGGTCTATCACACCAGGTAAGATCCCAGGTGCAGGCTGTGTAAAGATGCCCCTGAGACAATCCAGCACATAACAGCAGGGTGCAAGATGCCAGCAGGCAGAATTATTGCGCTAGGATCCTGTGAGACTTCCAGATACAGAAGGACAAACTGGTGATGGTAACCAGCTGGACATAGTGGTGTTGGACAAGCAGAGGAAGATAGACATAGATGGATATAGCTGTAACAAGCAGCAGACTTTATATTGCATATCCTGCCATAAATTGTGTATGGTATGATCTATTAAGGTATGATGGAGTGCCTTCTTTCACATTCAGACATGGATTGATCTTGAGCTAGGCGGATGCAGGCCCCCAGTCTGCGTATTGCCTGGTGCATAGAGTTCAGAGCTATAATACAGAGTTCCAATGTGGAGAGTCTTCAGTGTGTATCAATGTCAGCACCACCAAAACTGGACTATTTCAGACACACAGATGTTTAAACTTTTGGTCTGTTAAGTTTGGCCTTCAGCAGGAACCAAGGGCAGTGATAAGCACCCGCTTTACAGCTGTACATGTGTCTGCATGAGTCCCTCTGTGCTGGTCCTGGGCTTTCTGTTCAAACTTAAACATTTAGATCCTGAACGATCTTGTGTGTCTTTGCTTGAACGAGCATTTGTATCAGTTAGTGGGACTGAAGGCAAAGGATTATAATGAAATTTATTTTGAATTATTGATAATTATGTGATTCTCAAACCAGAAACCCTGGATGACCAGCCAGATCCGCACACTTCTCAAAGCCCAGGATGCTGCCTTCAGGTCGGGCGACTGAGTTCTGTACAGGTCTGCTCAACCTGATCTGAAAGAAGCTAAGACGGACCATAAAAGTAGCATAGAGTCCCACCTGTCCAGCAACAACACACGGGGGGTGTGGTTGGGCATACAAGACATCCGAAACCAAAGAGGCTGCACTGTGAAAACAGGAAACTTAAGTGCACCACTGCTGAAGGAGATAAACACCACAACAGCAGCACCCTGCTCCCATCCTCATCCTCACCTGGTTCCTGCACCGCTCCATTTACTGTAATGGAGCACGATGTCAGACGTGTGCTCCTCATGGGGGATGTTGGCTCACTCGGCGGTAGGCAGAACAGTGGAGCCCCTGAAGCCTAACAGCTGATCCCTGCTGTAAATAATGGGAGGTCAGACCTCCATGTGCTCTCCGGACACAGATGCTGTAAAAATGTGATAAAAAACATGATTGATCCATAAAATTCTGAGACCCACTGTGGAGTAGTACAGTCCACAATAAAAAAAAAACAATAACAAGAAACACAATAACAACAAAGAAAGAGAAAAAAGGACTCCGTCAGGTCGGAGCTGCTGATACTGGCTGCCAGCTCGGAGCGGCGCTGGAAGTAGAAGTACTGAGCATCTCCCTCATGGTCAGCATT